CGCCCGGCGGTCCGTGTACTGCGGGGGGGGGGCGCCGGTTCCCCGGCCCCCCGCCCCCTTCTGCCGGGGAGACCGTCGGGGCGCGGCCCGGTCCGGACCCGCGGGGCATCGCCCTGCGCCTCGGGCCGCCCGTATCCCCGGGCCGGGTGGCTGCCATGGCAACGCCGGGGTGACCGTGGTCTCCCGCATCCCAGCGTTGCCTGGTTACCAGCCCCCCCGTGCTAGGAAGGAGGCCCCAGGGGCCCGGGCCCCCCCCCCCCCGCTCCGCGGAGACCTCCGGCATGCCCTGCCTGCCCCAGCCCTCCCCGGGCTGGCTGGGGTCTGTGGTGTGCAGGTTCTGGGGAAACAGGGAGGTAACCCCTCTGCTTCGGTGAGGATTTGGCAGTGTTCTGCCTTCTCTTGCTAAATATTTTAGTAATGCCGAAACAACATGGCAACGGTTGAGTGCTTTATCCCGGGAAGGCGTACCAGAGGGAAGGAAGAGCGTGTCACTCGGGGTGTGCAATTCATGCTTCCTGAAGAAGCAGATATTGGAGGCCATGTGGTGGAACGTGGCTCTCGCAGGAATATTTCTGTAGGAGGGAGAGTGACAGGTGGTTTGTGTGGACGTGCATAAGCTTTGCAGCAGGAAAGAGCAGCCTCTCGGGAAAAGCTGCCCATGGATTCGGACCTGATGCAGTCTCCTGCACCCCTTTCAGTGAGCCCGCGGTGCCCCAAGGCGCTGTTGGGTCACTCTGGGACCCCTAGTCCCACGGGGTGGTTTCGCTCTCAGTCTGAAATGAAGACGAGCCCAGAGTCCCTGCCCGTGCACAGTAGGAGCATGGTTCTGAGGCGGAGTGACGGGGAGCATGCCAAGGATAGCTGCTGGCGTCAAGCACAGTCGCTGCAGACCCAGGCCACCTGTTAGAGCGTGCTCGCTGGACTGCCGGAGAATACCCCCGTGCCTCCGACAGCTCGCCTTGGCATTTTAGCCGCCTCCTTGAAACATACCCGTTCAGGTCAAATGTCATGGAGAGCCACAGTTTTGCCAGCAGTTTAGACTTTGGTGTTGAAGACAACTCCCCAGCACGGCAGCTTTGTGTCTGGTTCTTTCCCTGTGTTTGCCTTCTGGGCTGTCTGCGTGTTTCCAAAGCATTGAGAGGCCGCCGAGCGCTGCGGCTGTCGCCTTGCCGCGCCGCCCGAGCATGGGGAAGGCACCGCTCGTGCCAGGCAGCGCGGAGGTGTCCTGCTGAGGGGTTGTGCCACCCGGCTGTCCCTCGCGGCATGCAGCCACAGTGGTGCTGGCAGGGATGATGGCCGCACCTGCTGGGGACTTTGGTTCGCCTCGCACTTGGCGGTGGTCGTGACTGACAGCAACAGCAAAGGAGAGAGGGAGAAAATGTCCGCCCTTTGATGCTTGGCTGTATTGTGGTACCCCAGGACACAGGGGAGCATGAAACAGCTTCTCTTACACTGCTAGTCCAGTGTTTCCTGGTGATCTGGATTCCTCTCACCACCAGGACCTGGCAGGTAACCTCTGCTTTTGACTGACCTGTTCGATTCCCGTTGTGCTGATGCCTCGCCATGATGGCAAGGGCTGGGCGGAGTGGGGTGTGGCAGGACAGTTCAAGCCAGTGCGCTGGTTAGGTTTACAGCACCTGATTATCTGTTAAGCAAACGAGGAGAAAACAGGAGCAGCAGACTCCTGATGGTTGTTGGTGGTGTTTACTGCTTCCCTGGAGCCAAGGGCTGGGTTCTCTGCCTGCTCTCCTGATGCCAGGCGGCCATGAGCTTGGCAATCATTGCGCCAGAGGTTTGCCTCAAAGGAAGGGCCGGCCTCACTCTTTTGTGTCTGCCCTTTCTCGTCTGGGGAGACGTGTGTCCTTGGGGTGGGCCAGGGACTGCCCGTGAGCCAGGTGTGGCTGGGCAGCTTTGGCTAAGGGTCCTTGATGTTTTCGGGCTAGTTGCCTGAAAGAAGCCCTCCAGGAGGCAGGCTTAATGCCAGGCTACGGGTGAGGGACGCAGCACAGGGTGCTGAGGTCAGGGTCCCTCCGACCTCATTTAGCCATGTTCAGTGATTCCCTGTGATCGCATGCTCTCGTGAGCATCGTCCCGGCTGGGGCTGGTCCATGGGGGTCAGCGCGGGAGTCTTGTTCTGCAGAAGCAGGGCTGAAGTTTGGGTTCCTGGGGCTCCTGGAGAGGGTTTCCTTTGAATAGCTTCTGCTTTGGGGAGATAGCCCGAACCTGCAAGAGACGATTAGATCTTAGTAAAGTCAGTTTTCTGTCTTCCATCCGGTCAGCCTTTGACTCGGCACCACATTTGGGAAGCACCATCCATATCAGAACGGCGAGGGCTGGAAATCTCCCCTCTCATTTAGGAACTAGGCACAACAACAGGCACATTAATAGCCCGATTGATGCTGACATGAAATGGCAGAAGAGCACATCTATGCATAGCTGGAAATGTCCATTCACACATGCACGCTCCTAAACGCTCCAGGCAACTGAGCGCTGCTGTCACGGTCTTGGGGGCTTTGCACAGAAACTAGAGATTTTAACTAGGTCTGATCTTTGGGAGATGCCCTGAGGACTCCTGACGGAAGGAGGAGGCTGCCTGGCATTATGCTGTGACGGCTGAGACTTGACAGGGCAGATCTACGCAAAACAATGAAAAGGAAAAAGGGACTTCAAGATTCAATGCTGTTACAAATTTACCTGCTTTGCTCTGGCATGATTTGCCATGCTATGGAGAGCTAATTGGTGGGTAGGAGAGACTACTGGGTCTGTCTGCCCCGACTTCCCCCTGCTTCTCTGTCTCACACACACACGGCCTCCATGCGCGCACACACGCTACGCCCAATGACATGCGGAATCGCAAGGAGGGATTATCCAGGAGCAAGAGGCTGAGGGAGAGCTGTGACGAAGTGTGGAGCGAAGCATGTCGGCTCTGAGCTTGGTGGGAAGGCAGCAGGGCACTGAATCACGGTGGGGCTGTGCTGGGCGGGATGGGACTGAGCCCCAGTGGGGTTGCCACCCACCCCGAGGTGCTGCTCCAGGGGCTGCCAGCCCCGGCTGGTGGCCACAGGGACAAGGCTGCACCAAGGGGGTGGCCACAGCTGCGTGGGCTGCCCCGGTGCCTAGCAGCGCTTTCCCAGGGCAGGGAGGGCATCCCTGGGCGGAGGGCCATGCCAGTGTGCAGGGCCGAGGGCGGCGGTGTGGGCACCACCTGCAAACCCTCACCATGGAGCAGGTCCAGCCGTGGCTCAGCCCCGTCCTGCCAGAGAGGGGTTCAACAAAAGCTCTGGTAAGCCCCTAACCAGCAAACGCCATATACTCCCTCAGTCTGCATCATTCCGTCCTTCCTTCCCCCAGGAGCCTCTGCCAAAAGCCTGATGTCCTCCTTCTGGCACCCGCTCAGCCATGCAGACAGGGATGGGGGGGGTAAATATTTGGTTTGCCCTCTTAAAACTGCCAGTTGGGTTGAGGCAAAAGGGAAGGAGAGCTCCAGGCACCACTGCCCTGCGTTCTGTGCCGCTCTGCCTCTCTCCGTATGCAGGCAGATCTCGCAGTTTCAACAGGAAAAAAAACATGTTTTGATTCAAGTGGCACGCGAAGCGCTCTGCGCTGCCCATTCCCCGCGGTTTGCACGGGTGTGTGGCTGCTCGGTTTGGTGACAGCAAACTTTGTGTCACTAACAGGGAGAAAACAGGGAGGTCTGAGCCCGGCGGGGCAGGGCGGGCGAGGAGCAGGCTGTGCAGACGTGGCCAGGCGCGGGGCTGCTGTCGCTCCTCAGGCAGCTGTTGTTTTTCCTCTGCCTTTGTGCAAAGGCACAGCTGGATTCCGCGTGAGCGGAGGGCAGGGAGCGGCGCCTTCATGCCTTGAACGCTGTGGTCTGAAGGCGTAAGCGGGGAAAACGGCAAACCCTTTGCAATGTTTGCTCTTCTCACTTTATTTCAGCTTCTTGAAAAAGTGGGTGGGCCAGCTCGAAACAACCCAAAAAACCTGTGGCACTTTGCAAAGCATATGCTTCCTTGGAGGAGACCTGGGCTCATTTGCACTCCGGAATGCTGTGTGTGTTTTTCAAGCAAGGACACTGCCAATCCTGATGGTTAACTTGTGCGGAGATAAGTTTGAGCGTGTGGAAGTGTGTGAATTTGGGGGATTGAGTTAGAAAAACAAAGAACATATGTGTGCTGTGTGCTTGGCTTGGCGAAAAAGCGACCTCTGCTGCACTAAGCGTGAGAAGCCAAAAGCTGAGCAGAGGACTGGAAACAACGTCTGTGGCCAAGCGGGGCCCCAGCGCTGGCCCGCTTCCTCTGGTGGCTGTGGAGGGCTGGAGAGGACTGCAGGAGAGCGGGGAGCGAAGCCTTCGGTGGGTGCCAGAGCTGCAAGATGTTCGCTTCTGTTAGTGCTGGCAAAACACGCCCAGGCAGCCAGCAGCATGGCTCCGGTGTTTTTGAAGCTGCTCTGGAACCGTGGCCGGGGGGTCGGACCCTCTCACCGTTGCAGGCAGGGCTGCCCGTGCTGTAAAGCACCTTGCCAGGCATCAGTGGGACAGCTCACGTGTGACGAGGGACTGGGGCCGCAACCGAGGGCTGTGGGGTGTGGGTGAGAAACGCTGCCCTCAGGAGTCGCAGGGCTGCCCGCTGCAGGAGGGGAGTGTGCGTGGGGCGAGCAGGAAAGCGAGAGGGTTCCCATGAGCCTTGGCTGGGGCGGCAGGGCTCAGGGCAGGGCAGGGACAGTTGTGAATAATGTGAAATCCCCGGAGTAGGTTCTCCAGGTGATGTCACTGAGCTGCTGCTGCAATAGTAGTTGAATAACAGCAAAAGAAACAATAGAAATCTAATGATTTGTTCACAGAATAAAGGCATCATTAATACCCTACAAGAGCCAATTCATACTGTTCATCTAGCAGTGGCAAGCACTGTATTGCCTCTCCTTGTGCACATACAACACCCTCGTTTTGGGTAATGACACTGATTTTGCGCTGGCAGCCTCAGCAGTAAAGAGATAAAGGATGTGAGGTAAAGGACGTAGGAAAATCGGCAACTAGAAGTTACTGTTTTACCAGCTGTTGGGTTCTTTGTACGTGTTTCTGAGACCTCATAATTATCCAGAATTACGTGCCTCAGCAAACAAGGGGGCTTGTCTGGGCACAGGCAGCCAGTGGCACGCTCCAGCGTGGCGTGGCAGCGCAGCCCCACGCTACACAATGGTGGCGGCAGCTGTGGGCCAGTGAAATTAAACCCTCTGGCGTTTGGATGAAACGCGTTGACTTCAAAATGACAAGATGTGGAAGGGAAGGGAAGGACGTGAGTTATCATGGGAGGCAACTTGTTCCGATGAATAAATGGGGTTCTGGAAACATGCTCCCCGTGTTGGCGGGGCCGAGCGCAGTGCAGGAGGCTGCTTCCTCCGCAGACGTGACAGGAGCTGGCTCCCGAAGGCAGCGCTGGAGACCGGCCGCTAAGCAGAATGCTGCTGGGGCTGGCTTTGGCAGGCTGGTGGGCGCTGCTGAGCCCACTCCATGCGTGCCGTTCCCGGGCACCTTCGCATCACAAACTGGGAAGGGGGGCCACGGCAGGAGCTGGGGGACCCTGGTGCCCCGAGGAGCCAGCCTGGGGCAGCTGAGCTGCCTGTCCGCCCCCGTCACTGGCCGCCCAGGTGGGCTGGGGCGGAGGTTGCATCCGAATCAGGTCAAGCTCTGGAGGGGCTGAATAGCAGCACGCCAGGGATCTGCATCCATCAGCTAGCTGAATTCCTGCTCTGTTGAGGGCCCCTTTCTTATCGGCACTAATCCAGCGCAGCAGCTGCAGCAGCTCTGTAGCGCTTGGTGCTATCAGTGCTGTGCAGCATGCCTGATAACCCCCCTTCCTCTCCTGTGCCAGCAGCAAGCCCTCTTTGCATTCCCGCACCATGTATGGCCACCGAGCCCTATCGCCGGGGTGCTTAGTGACTGCCTGACGGCAGCAAAACACAAACAAGCAGAGCCCTGTGTGCGGGCAAGCCACGGGTGGCTGGCAAGGCAGCACCCAACCTGCCCCTGCACTCCGGAGCTGCTGGCTTGCTCCCTCGAAGGAAGCGCGTCCGCCAAGCCTGCTCTGTCCTGGCAAGAGGCATCACAGCCAGCGGGAAGGGGTAGCCGGGTGCGCGCGGTGCCCTGTGCCAGCTGGCAGGACGGAGAGCAGCCGCCCCCCCAGCCCCTGCCCATCGCGACGCTTCGGGGCCAGTTAATAGGTACCATGTGTGCTGGCAGAGCAACAGTGCCTGGCACTGGCTGGTCCCAGCAGCCAGGGTGCCCATCCCAAATGGGTGCAGCAGCTTGGGGCATGGAGATGTGCACCCCTGCCCGAGCTGGCAGGGAGCATCACAGCCTGGCCACAGCGTTGTTACACCCAGGCTGGCATCCCTTGGAGAAGGGTCCATGCTCTGGCCGGGTGCCTCTGCACAAGGGCAACGTGTCGGTGCTTGTGAAGGGACGGGGACAGGCTCAGCTATGAGAGGGGACTGAGGGGGTATTTAAGGTCTCTCCTCACTGCTGTAGGTTAGTGTGGGAAGCCGGGGGGGGCAAGCATGGCTGTGAGCTCATGTCCCACCAGGGCTGCTGGCCTCATTGTAGGAATGTGCCATAATTGCTATGCTAATTGGGACAAATTAAAGTATGCTCTGGGTGAAGGACACGGTATTGACCTTGATGGAGAGATCACAGCCCTCGTGCTGGCCCCATTGCCTGCAGTGCAGCCTTGCAACTGCACAGAGATCCATGCCAGGAGCAGAGCCAGTGGTGCAGAGGTGCCTGAAAATGTACCGCAGAACCCCACAAAAAGTCCATCCGTCTGTCTGCTCAAACCTTTCCCCTCTTTTCTGCCTGCGAGACGCCATGTCCCCACTGGACTGGGCACAGCTATGGCCCCAGGTATCGTGGCCAGGCCCCTGGGTGTTTCCCAGGGCCAGCCTGGCTCCTTCTCCTGCAGCGTGGGCTGCAAGGGCTGTGCAGCCCTGCCTGCCCGCACAGTCGGGCATGGGTTGCCCATAGTCATGCACCCCAGCCCCATCACTGTGCCCTCCGTCAGCCATCTGGGTGCTGAAGCCCACTTTTCCCCTCTCTCGCAGCAGCCATGGAGGCAGTGCTGATCTTCCTGTGCTCTCTGCTGGTGCCGGCGGCTGTGGCAGACGGTAGGTGCCAAGTGCTTTCCGCATGCAAGGTGGGTCACAGGGGCACGGGAAAAGGCTGCAGGGTCCTGGCAGACAGCCGCCACTCCGATCCAGGGGAGGCTGGAGCAGGCCATGGGGCAGCAGCAGTGCCCGTGCCGGCAGGGGGGCCATGGGGAGCCACAGGGGCGCCACCGGCAGGTTCGCTCACCTGGCACCCTTGTCTGCTTATTTCCAGTGGCCACCCCAGAGAAGGAGGAGGACCCCTTTAACTATGGTGAGCATCGCCGTGCGTGAGGATGGGCGTGCTGGTGGGGGACATGCATGCATGTACGATGGGGAGTGAAAGAGGCCGCCCCCTTCCCTGAAGCCAGCAGGAACAAGCCCCTGTGTCTCCTCCCCCCAGATTACCAGAGCCTGAGGATCGGGGGGCTGGTGTTTGCCGTGGTTCTATTCACCGTTGGCATTCTCCTTATACTCAGTAAGTTGGGGACCATGCGGATGCTGGGCTTGTGGGCCAGGGCAGTGGGGACCGTTCTCGTGGGGGGGCAGCCATTGGAAAAGGCCGTGGCCCATTCCCACTTTGGCCATGCTGATGGGGTTTCTCTCCCCTTGCAGGCAGGAGGTGCAGGTGCAGTTTCAACCAGAAGCCCAGGTGAGTGAGGGCAGCCTGGTGGGGAACATCTCCCTTGGTGAGCCTCTCTGCCCAGCGCTCGGCTCTTCCTGGGCTCCCTCCCGCAGCTGGCAGAGTGGCTGCACTCCCCAAGCATCCCGTTCAGGTGCCTGGTGCCCAAAGCTCCGCTGCAGAGCTCTTGGGTGGCAAAGCAGCTCTGCACACTCCCAGGGCACCTTCCTCAGCATGCCCCTGCGCTGTCGGATATCCCACCCCCAGGGACAGGGTGCAGGTCCTGGCTGCTCTCACCGTGCCCCTCTTCTTGCAGAGCTCCAGGGGATGAGGAGGCCCAGGCGGAGAACCTGATCACCTCGAACGGTAAGGTCACCTGTCCCATCCTGCACGTGCTCTGCCGCCGCTTCTACTTTACCCTCGCCTGCCTGCGGAGCACACAGCTCTGGGCAGGCGCTGCGAACCGCTCTGCTCTTCCCTTTGCAGCAACAGGAGCACAGAAAGCAGAGAACTGAACAAGAGCCATGCGGTGAGTCTTGGGGCTGCCGCGGACCAGTCGAGGCCAGCATGTGTGGTGGCACTAGGGCTGTCGCGGCTGCAGTGCTGGGAAGGAAGGGAGGGGCAGCCGGGGCTGTGTACAGGGGCAATGGTGGGGCTCCGAGTAGACCCCTTTGCTGGGACCGGGCAGCCCTTCATCCCCAGCACGGCACAGGGGCAAGTGCTGGTCTGGGCCGTGGCAGGGAAACATGCGGTGCTGGTGAGGTCCTGGGTGTCCTGTGCTCGGCAAGCCCCAGGCAACCCAGCAGGAAAAGGAAGCATCTGTCCGGATTTTCCCTTGCACTATTACACTTCCTCTCCTTGTGCTCCTCCACCCCAAGGGGGTTTTATTTTTAGGGCCTCTAGAGAGCTGAGTGCAAGCCCCCTGGGGCATCTCGCTCCTTGCCCACAGTCAGAGTTGCCCTGAGCTCCGCATTCAGAGAGAGTGGAGGCCCGGAGCCCATGCTGGTGGGCAGGCGGTTTGCACTGCTGGTGGACGAGCCCTGTGCAGGCAAAGGCGGTGGCGGTGCTCCCAGCCTGACTCGCTGCTCTCCTTCGCACGCAGACCCAGAGACCCGAAGACAGATGCTCGGACCGCAGATGCCAGTGGCCTGCGAGGAAACTGAAATCGCAGCAACAGGTCCCTCTAAGGAGATGCGAAGCTGCTGTGTCTGTGTTACCCTCTGTACTTCAGCACCGGTTCTCTGTTTACTAACCCGACTAAACTCCACTCACCGTCCTCTCTGCCTCCAGTGCTGTGTAATGTTGATGTGAGATGATCATTACCTCTAGGGCTAGTCGTTGCTGATGTTGTAATAGTGACTTTCTCTTCACCTTTCTCGTTCTGTGCGTGTGATTCAGGCTGTGTACAACTGGCAAGCGCTCCCTGGAACGGGAGCCGCAGGGCAGGGCGGCAGGGGCCCAGGGGAGCCCTACGTCCCCCCCCACCCAGAGTCAGAGGCACTCAGCACGGCCCGCATGGTACTGTCTGCATGCCAGGCAGTGTCACTGGCGGGGGCTTGTGGTCCACCCCGGCTGGCTTCGGGCAGGGCTCGGGGACCAGTCCCCCAGCGCTCTGGGGGCCTGCCCAGCCTAAGCCTGGACCGCGTGTTGCAGTTTCAGCAATAACCCTCCTGTGCACACCCCCAGCCCGAAGGCAGCCGCAGTAGGGGGCGAGCCAGGCAGGGACATCCCGTGGCTCCGCTTCCCTCAGTGGAGGCACCTGGGTGCTGGATTTAAGGCTGAAAGGAGCTCCCCTTTCTTGCCTGCTTGGCACTCCCTGTTTCTGTCCCTGGCTACAACCAAGCCATCGGTGTGGGTTGCTGCTTTAAAGGTGAGGAGATGCTGTGGTGGCAGAGAAGCCCATGAAATCCCCTGGCATGGTGACACTGAAAGAGGGTGGCTGCGCAGCGGTGACCATGCTAGCCAGCGCAAACCAGCTCCTTGCCAACGCTCTGCCTGCCTGTGAGATGGAGGTAGGCAGATTAAACAGTCTCTGAGGGCTAAAGAGAAACATGGACTGAAATAAAGATCCTGTCCTTGCTTGTCTCCAGCAGGGAAGGGGCAGCAGCGTTTCCTCCTGGTGCTCCCTGCCCTTCCTGATGCCTTGTTGCTCCCTGCGCCATGGCCCCCCTGCATCAGTGCTGTGTATCATCCCGTGGTGGTTACGTGTTGTCAGCCCCGCCGATGCCAGCTGCCCCTTCTCCCTGTGGAGCAGCAACTAGCAGTGGTGAGCGGTGCTCCGGGGCTTTGCACACCTGAGCTTGCACAGCGGGGCTGAGCCCAGAGGCTGTCGTCACCTTGTGTCCGCTCAGGGGTTGGAGGCAAGCCTGTGAATCTGGCCCCTTCCCCACGCCCATGGGCATGCAAAACTGTGGCCTCAGCTGGGCCTGGGGACTGCCGGCTTGGTCGAGGGCGCTTGCCAAGGCAGGTCAGCCTGGGCAGCAGCGGGGGTCCCCAGGGCTGCACTGAAACACATTGGAGCGTGTCCACGCAGGGGGAAGAGGTTCTTGTCCTCCAGAATGGTTTTGAGAGGGGTTTTTGCTATGTCCACCCTGCCACGCTGGCCCTGCCTCCAGGGTGGGCTGTGTCCCTGCGCGCTTTGCGTTCCGCGGCGGCACTGGGAAGCACGCTCTGTCCCATCTGTGTGAGGCAGAGAGACCCTGTCTCCAATACCTTCTCCCCTTCCTCCTGGCCATTGCAGAGAGCTCTGCTCACCTCCTGCCTCCACGCTGCCCTGCGGCCTCCGGCAGAGCAGACCCCGCGCAGCCAGCCCCCGAGCGTCAGCTGTGTGCGTGTCCCGCGTTGGAGTGCCCGTGGTGTCTGTAGCGTGCTGTCGGTGTTAACGTGAAACAAAGAAATCCCTGTGGTGTGTAGAAATGGCAAAATCCTGACTGTTGTAAAATAAACGGACCTATTGTGTTTCCTTTTAAATAGGCGAGTGTGCTGCTGTGGTAAAGGACTGGTGTGTTCTGTGCTGTGACCTAAGGGGGAAAGGAATAAAATATCATTTCTATCTGTGCCTGGCTGCGTCGTCTCAAGGGCCATGGCGTTGCCAGGGCTTGGGGGAAAGGCTGCGGGGAGCGGGACGGGGCCCGAGGGCTCCAGCTCTGCCGGGGAGGCTGGCTGGGGGAGCTGGCAGGCAGCTTCTCACGCTGTCCCTCTGTGCCGGGCGCTGGGCTGGGGCGGAGGGGAGAGAATGTGGCTCATCCCCCAGGCAGCACAGATGAGCTTTGTGCTAGCAGCGGTGGGCTGGCCGAGCCCCCACCCTGCCGCGCTCTTTCCTGCAGCCAGCAGCAGTTTCAATACCCAGAGGCCGTGTGAAGGGAGCGTGTGAGCGGCGAGCCTGGCTGCACGGCCCCAGGGGAGGCCGGCACAGAGCCCCCTTGTCCCTTGGCCTTTCGGGAGCTTTGGCGCCGATCGAGGGAGATGCTGGGTGCCGCCTCGGCTCTGTGACAGCGGGGCCACCCGGACAGCCCCACGCACCGCCCTCCTGGGGCTTGGCTTTGCCCCACGGCGCCGAGCTGCTGTGGGGGGCTCCGGGGGGCCTTGGCCTGGGCCCAGCCCTGGGCACGGCGAGGGGAGCGCTCCCTTGGGGCCGGCCACTGCGGTGCTAATCGGCTTGGGCGCGTGACTCCCGCTCGCTGATTGCGAGATTAGAGCAAACTGGATTGAACAGCCTGCCTGGCAGCTGGCCTTGCCGCCCCGGGGCCGGCACAGCCTCGAGGGGCGCAGCATCCTGGTACCCTCGGCCGGGCAGGGATGCACCGCGGACGTGGCTGTGCCAGGGTGCTGCAGGGCCCACCCCGGGACGGCTCGACGCGGGGCTGGGAGGCACTGACCCCACCGTTGCAGGGACCCATGGCACCAGGCTGCAGGGACGGGGCATGCCGTCCGCTTCTCTCTAGCAGAAGGCAGTTGCAGCCTGTACCGAAGCCCATCCCTCTGCCCCCCACCTCGGGCTCGCCTCCAGTGGGAGGTGAAGCCCAGCTGGCCTGACATTCAGAAAGCGAGGGAGGGCATGCCACCCTCCTCCCGGCTGGGGTAGGGACACCCGCGGCTCCGGGGTGCCCAGCCCTCCCTGCTGGCTGGCACGGTGGGTGTGTGCCCTGCCCTCCCCTCCCCTCCCAGAGCCTCCTTCCCAAAGGTGGGTGGGAGCGCTGTGCCTCCCCTCGTGACTGTGATAAACATTACAGCAAGGCCGTTAATGTTTAATGAGGTTTGCCTCCCAATTAATGTGCTTTCCCAGGGGCGCCCACTCCCAGAGCGAGACGCCCGCCGGACAACACGCCGACACGATGGGTGACGGTAAGGGTGGCCAGCAGGCACCAGCAGCTAGCACCCTGCTGAGCCCACGGCAGAGGGGCTTCGCTGGGAGGGCAGTCACCTTCACGGGGGCATCGCCATGCGAGAAGCAGGGCTGTTCCCTCCTGCCGTGTGGGAGCTTGCGCAGGTGCAGTTCTTGCGGAGGATTCGGGGGAGATGTGGGGATGAATCCCCAGAGCTCTGCAGCCTGCTGGCGCATCAGTGCCGGCTGGCGTTTGGCTTCTTGGGGGGATTTCTCCTTCCACATGGCTCCTGGCAGAGGGATGCACAGTCAGGTAAGGGGGCTCGAGTGGTGACACGGAGCTGTCAGACAGACAAGCCTCCCAGCATGGAGAGAGGCTGCCAGGATGCACCCCAGTGCAAGGTGTCAGCCCGAGGGGTTGTTCAGTGCTCCATGCCACAGGAGCAGAGCCATCACTGCTCCACCGACTCCTGTGGGCAGCGGCACTTCCCGAGGGTACTGTGTGGGCTGCTCTGCTGACAGCGCAGCCTTCACAAATAGCAACCAGCTGCTGCAAACAATCGAGCTGAGTGTGTCTGTAGCTTCCCCTGGAGCTCGAAAACTCCCGTGCATCCTGCAAATGCCCTGTAAACGTTAAACTTCCTGGAGTGAAAAACAGGAATTTGGGAATCCTTTATTTTCTCAGCTAGACCTTAAGGAATTCAGAGCGCTCTTGCTTGCAATCTTTGTTCCTGATCTTTCCCACCTCGCCTCCCCATCCAGGCGTCCACCGCGAGCCCAGTGCCCAGGCCCTGGCTCTCACTTGGGTTTCTCCTCTTTTCCAGAGCAAGCGCCCGAGCAGGGCCTGGACAGGTTCAGCTACGGTGAGTGCGTGCCGCAGGTAGCCCGGAGGCTATGGGCAGCCCGCTCCCACGCCTGCCCGTGGGCTCTGTGCCGCGGGCTCAGCCCCGCGCCTCGGCCGGGCTGACGCCGGCTCGGCTCTCCTCCTCCCCAGACTATGAGACCATCCGCAACGGGGGGCTGATCTTTGCCGTCGTGGCTTTTGTCGTTGGGCTCCTCATCATCCTCAGTAAGTGCCTCGGGCGGGCTGGATGCCTGCCTTGGCTCTCTTCCCCCACATGTGGCCCTTTCTCCACTCACCTCCCACCTTGCCCCGTGCCAGGCACTGGCTGGGTGCCGGGGTGGGGGGGCCACTGATCCTGCCCCACCATGTGAGGGGTGGGCATCGCCTGCAGTCGGGGCTGCCTGGGAATTTTCCATCTAGGCAAGCTCCCAACAGAAAGCGAGTTGGGAACAAGACAACGTAAACGGTTCACGTCTCCCTGCCAGCGTCAAGGCTTCGGAGGGAAGGTCACTAATTAAAAATAGCAGAGAAAACTCTGACATTTCCAGAGTGAGAAACCAGCTTTCCCAGAGCCCTCAGACCTCGGCGGCTCCCAGGGAGACTCGGTGCCGAGCGTGCAGGGCACCCTGTGACCCTGCCTGTGCATACAGGGACTGTCTGCCTCGCTCTGCATGGCTGGGGGTGGCTGCAGCATCGCAGCTGCACGCTGTGACATTGCACAGCGGTTTTAGGGGGCAAGATAAGAAAATCACCCGCATTTGCAATCCCAGGGGCAGCTGAGGGAGAAAGGCAGACATCCAAGCGGGCTCTCATGGCTGGCGCCTTGCTGGGCAGCACTGGGGACTGCGGCTTCGGGATCCGGGGCAGTGCAGGGGGGCTGGCCGGGCAGCGCGGCTGAGCCGGGGGCCAGGAGGCAGCATGTGGGGTCAGTGTCTCCCCACACCAGTGGGAGCTGGGCAGGAGGCCAGCCCCACCGTGGAGGCAGGGGGGCTCGGGTCTTCCCTCAGGAGCCAAACCCAGTGGTCCCCGGCGGGGAACAAGCCCGCCGAGCAGAGAGGGGCGGGCGAGATGGGACAGGGGCGGG